GCGCGCAGCGCCTTCCTCGATGCAGACTGCATTTGCATTCTGTCTCGATAGATTCATTGGACTACGTTGAGAGCGTGCCTATGAGTAACAAGTTTTGGGACTTACATAGCGCTTATCTTAGACAGTAGGTGCACCTGAATCAGTTTATCAAGCGGTGAACACTACCTGTTGACTGCAGTTTCACTGATATCCAGATTAGCCATAGTCCTCAATTAGAGCCTCTCTAGAAAATTAGGACTATAACCGATGGGCTCCAGTCTGTGTAGATAGTCTCCTGCTCCTATAGTTTCATTAGCAAGTTGTGCAAATTATCCACAAGAGTTTGCTCAGTTGCTCCACTCCGTTAAACTCTGCCCCTAACACCCCGGTGGCAAGACGTAGGCCGTCAGTAGAGCCACTTCCCGAAGCGGTTTGTTTTGAGATTTGACATGAAGCGCTTTAATGTTACGGACTCGGAATACCTTCTTCTGTAATTGCTCAAATAAGGTGGTACAACGGTTGTCACTCAGTTAACATCCCAGTTTGTGAAGTAAGAAGAAAGGATAGTCTTTTCTTGGAGAAGCTGCATGAAAATGCTGACGAAACAGTTGGCCTCCGTCGGTTGTTCTCGACTCCCTGGTTGGGATGTCAGATATACAGTATCGCTGGCTGGAGACCCTATAAGTCATCGCTCATGACCGACGTCAATGGCATCCGTTTATCACTGCGTGCTGTGGCGATTTTCCTTCCCTAATAGAACAAACAATTAAAAAACGTAGAAGCTGTGTGTGAAAAAACGAAAGAAAAAGGTGCGTGTATTTTTTTTATTCCGCCATCATTCCGATGGCATACTATCTGCACCGCAGATTGTGATATATATATATATATATATATATATATATATATATATATATATATATATATATATATATATATATATATATATATATATATATATATATATATATATATATATATATATATTCTTGGCAAATCCTTGAAAGGTGGGAAGGTATTTGTTGACATTCTCCAGTCTTGGGTACGTGATAATCTTATTCGACGTCCCGCCCAGTCATCTGCAACTGGAAGTTTTAGCCCTTGCTTTATTGTATCGGGATCACCAAATAAATGTGACTGAATAGGACTTGAGGCACAGTTTCAACACCTGTATGAACAGCTTTCTAGACTGACGCCAGTGACAGGAGATACGAGCAGTTGGTTTAAGGCCAAGGCAATAGGTCCAGCCAATCAGCTTTGTATTAGGGAGGCTGAAAAGTGTCATTTCGGAAGACCATATTGTTTACTTGACGGAGTTACGTGGAAATGAGTAAAGAGGACTACTTTCAGAAAACGCACTCCGTGCTCGTGAATAAGGATAGATTTATTAGAGACCAAACAGGACGTGATAGAACGGAAAGTTAAAGACTATAACCCGCGAACTGAGAAACCAACACAAATATCGATTGGTCGATGCTAAAACGATGACGCAGCTGTGGCCTCGTGGTTCAAGACTACCTCGAATGTATGGATTACTAAAGGTACACAAAGAATGGATTCCATTGCGTCCAACCCTCGCAATAATAGGAGCACCGTATCAGAAGTTGGCGCCTAACCGGACTAATTGAACCTATCCGACGCGAGCTAGCAGTGTGTTGCCTAAAAGATTCCTTTGAATTCGTTGACAAGATTCGGAAAACAAACGTCTGTTCGCTGTTGACAAATGTACCATTGTAGGAGACGTTGGATATCATATGCAGACACGCAGATGAATTGGGGTTGCAAGCACATCGACTAGACATTACTTCGCATATGCACAAATGATGTTCAGTTTTACTTCGATTGAAAGCACTATCGACAAATTGAGGGCGTGGCGATGGATAGTCCACTTGGGCCCATTTTAGCTGATATTTTCATGGCCCATCTGGAGAAGCATGCTTTCAGTCCAGTTACATTGTTGATACATTTGTGGTTGTTGATGCGCACCAGCAGGTGGAGAGCATACTATGAGCGTTCAACAGTTGTCACCCAGAGACCGAATTCACCATGGAATAATAAAACAAATTCCATTTCCTAGACAGTCCTAGAGTGATCACATGGTTCACCCATCAGGTCGATTTACTATAAACTGAGTTTGACAGGGCAGTACCTAAACTTCGTTAGTCCGTACTTCTTTTGTGAGAGGCCAGCAAATGTGCTCGGAAGAATCATTTGAGAAGCGTCACTTTACCTTACGCGTTAATGGTTATCCTGATAAATTTATCGCGAAATGTAGGGCAGAAATAGCGAGGAAAAGTAAGCGGTTGTGGATCCTAAGAAGAGGACTTTCATTACATTGCCGTACATAGTGAAACAAAATTGATCGAAGGTTCTACCATCGCTTACGCTAGCCAGAGGCTCTGCACCGCAGCTGCATCTAACTAGAGTTGCTGCGCGAATCCAAATTAGACAAACCTCACTCTAAAGTTACCGCCTCTTGTGTCTACCAGTTTAATTGTACGTGCGGTAACATGTACATCGGCCGAACTGAGAAGGCTGTCAACTTGGGTTTCGTAGCACATCCCGCGGAACCTAGATTTGGCTGGTGTGAAATTATCTGCTAGCTCAATTGCTAGGCGCCTGTTCCACTCTGCAGTGTGTTAAAACCCCCGGGAAGCATTCAAGATTCTTAGCTGTCAGAATAATCCGAGTCCGTTCAGGTTCGCTGAGGCTGCTGCCATCTGGCGCGTAAAGCTCAACCTATGCAAGCAACTGGAACATGTGGCCAGTCTTTCTCTACTGCGGTAAGATGTGAACATTCTATGTAGAGACGCTGCTCCAGACGAGTATCGACTCTTGGTATTGAATCCCTTTCGCTTGTTTTTTTAGTTTTCGCTATTAGTATGTAAGCACGCGGAATGCACTGAAATCAGGATATTCCGCCAGCTGAAATGGTTTTTCTTCTTGCACTTTTAAAATACAGGACTGTGTCTCGATGCTGCAGTAAGATGCTTAGAAATGTCAGAGGAAGGCGATTAGATCGCGTTTCCATCCGCTGTGATACAGCGCGGGTCGAATGAAGAGATTAACTTGTGCGTCAAAATGAGTCAAACTGTACCGAGCGCAGGTAATTTTATTAACAAAACGGACTTTATGGATGAGTTGTTATCATAACAAATGAATTACTCGACAGTGGTCACAGCAAGCCATCGAAAGGATTGATGGATCAGTGAGCGAACAAACGAGAAAGTATTGCACAGTAACGATGAGTATAAGAAGAGTGACTGCCTTCGATTCCACAGCAACGATAATTTAGTCACGCTTAGGGCGGACTGCCGTGCCTCGGTAAATGATCCCATCGTGCCCTGGGTCCATGTTCCAGATTCCCCAAGAGACACCCCACACGATCAGGGCCAACGCAACGCTAGTCCACAGAATGATGTTAAACAGTTCTGGATAGTCCGCCCTGTAGTCGGGGGCCAGGTTTAGCTCCTTGATCAATTGAGGATCCTGTGGGAAGAAATCGCGGATTTGTATGATAAACATACCATAGCGAGTGTTACACTAAGTGAGAAAAGTCGTAAAAACAAACGAATGTGGACTATCCGGCGTTTGGTGGTTTGTGGTATCTAAATCTGCGTTTCATTCTATCAAAGTCTGCTCACAGATGCTTATATCTATAAACCAAGCGGACGCTTATTACCATAGAAGTTCTCGAGAAAATATGAACCTTTTAGTTAGCCAACTGAAGTAAAATTCATTCCGGATGCCCGCTAGTTCGAGAATAAAATGGAGGCATATAAATGGTCACTTGTGAGCATTAATGACTGCATGCGGTTCCGTCATTTGGGTGCATGAGATGATCACATAGACTGATTCGACTCTCAGCTCAGGAAACAACCACTTGACATTCGCAGTCGAATAGAGCAGATAGGCATTGCGAGTTGAATGATCAGATCGCGAGAATAATGAAATGGTATGCATAATGTGTGTTGGTCCATACCCGTGCGAACTCCACATACGATACGGACTCTTGACGGAACGTGTACTGTGGTTTAAGAGCTGAGGAGCAACCACAAAGCGAATGCATCGGGTGGATTCCAATAGCCGATCTGTGGAATCTCGTAAGGGAGCATTCGAGTACGCGGTAGAATTAGCTGGCGTTTGCGATAGAAGACCAACAGGCAGTTTGTCAGAGATAAAGTGCGAAAACGAATAATATGTGAGCTTGCCCTTCGGCAACTACGTGCCCAAAGTGGATTGCGTTGTAGTGACCAAACTGTCCACACCCTCGTAACCAAGATTTCACTTCATGTGACTGCTAACGAGTTGGAAGCGAGATGAATCAATTCATGGGGTTCATGATGATTAGAGACTTAATTTTGTAGCCGCAGAGTGTCAAAGCATCAGATTATCTCCGCATGGGTCGCAAAGCGAGGCGGGCAGAAGCAGTATAGTGGAACCGGACAGGGCGACTCTGATACGCGGAAAATGTAGACAGCTCAAGTAAACTTAAAAAACCACCCGCGGTAAGTCATCTGAGCGTCAAGCGTTTGCGGCACATTGAGAATATGAAGTCCTCGCGAAGGAGAAATTTCCTGGGGAAATGTCCCGTGTCGCAGGAGAGGTACAGGTGTAACCGATCTCCTTCGGTTAACGGTCGCTCAGGTTCAGTCTTGGAGGATCATTGGTTAAAGAAATTCACAGGACCAACTAAATATCTTGCTGCTCGGAAAATCACTCGATGAATGGGGGCGTACACGGTGATAAAGACTATGGTGTCCGAGAATTCATTTGTCACAAATTATCACTATTTCTTATCAGGTCGACGATGATCGGTCAATCGAAATTGACCGGTCATTCAAGCGATGAAGTAACGAGCAACTTGTATGAAATAGCATTCAATACTATAGACAGCAACTGCAGCACAAGAATTATTCGGCAAAATACAGGTAACTGAGTGCACATGCTCAGATCAAAGAGTTGACACGGCGGACCACTCCGTGGCTGTAGCAGTGCAAGTCCCGGTGACCTAGCGGTTCACTGTCGAGTCAAAATTTAACCCACATCCCACACAACAGCAGTGATAATCGACAACCACCCACACATTCATGTGACGGTGAACACTTTGATGAAACAAAACAAGTGCATGGTTAGTTGTGTAATTTCACAAAAAGGGATGAAAGACAGCATTGCAAGAACGATCGAATTGCCTGACTATGGCTTCTGTGTTCATATTGCAGCAGTAACAAAAATATAATAAAGAGGATGGGTGAGAGCAATATTGAAGAAAGGTCAAAGTCACTTAGATCCAAATAAAGCAGAGTCGCAGGTCTGCGCGAAGTTCTGTCTTTGGGCTGGAAAACCGCACACTTCTCATTGATACCCTGTCTGATGGCATGTCGGGCAATTGCGACGATTTGGAGAGAGATAGGACGCATTGACCCAGCTCATCTGAAAAGCAGTAGGAACGACGCATACAAAGGAGGATGACGAGAGCAGAGGAAGGAATGAGAACTACTACGGATCTGTTCCAGTGCATCGGTAACAACATTACTCTATCGATTCGTCCGAAGCAGCGCAAGTAAGAACGATGGATGTAACCCCTAATGGTGGCATACAACTAAATAGAAATGGTAAGATAACAAAAGCACAAATCAAGCCAAAGCGGACCTATTTGATCAATTCGATTCACAGTACTAGCTGTTAAAGTAATTAATGTTTGATACCCGTAAGCAACAATGAGTGAAGCAGAGTGCACCAACATTCTACAGACAAGCTAAAGAAGTTAGCGTGGCCAAATGTAGCTACCCGGTAAGGTAAATTCAAAAAGTAAGGAGGATGAAATAATGCGCGTCTAGAGCGTGGAGATACACGCGAGAAGGCAGAAAGGGTAAACGCAGTGGATGTGTGCGGCATTTCATCGGCACGCATACGAAAAATCAGACATGCATAACATCAGTGGACAAGATACGAGGGCTCGTCAGTAGGACGGAATTAGTCGAACAGTTGGTTGAGATGTTAGCGTTCCTAACAGTGGGTGTAAGGGAGAAGATATGGAAGGAAGAAACGGCATCGTTAATCTGACGATTTTAAAAATTGTATTCAAAGCTATATGTCTGAAATGTACATAGACTCCTAAGAAGGCAAACGATTGGCCAGAAGACAAACTATGGAGACTTGTCTTGTTTGTAGTTGGCACTTGCTGCGAGATGCAACTGCCGGAGGAGTCAGTGTAACGATGCCATTTTGGGACTGTAACTAAGACTGGAAAGCGGTGTGAATTTGGTAGGTAAGTTAGGAAGGAGCCGACGTTAGTCATCAAGCCATCGCTGTAGTTATTTAGGCCATAACAGCCATGCACTCTACTCGCTGTCGAATGCGAAAGTAATGGGCGGCGAAATAGGGACAGAGCCAAATAAAGCGTATACTATCACTTCAGCTAGGGATAATTGGTAAAAATTAGCTCCCACGCCCCCTGAAAACGCGTCACCCGACCATATCATTCTACTGGAGCTTGTCAGTGGTGCGGGTTCTATGGCCTCACCAGAAACCGGACTGAGTAGGACGAAACGACCGTTACGTCCTTTCCTGGATACGTTAGAAGCTATCTTACTTGAAGTAGATCGCGATGAATCACTTGTAACGTAGATCAAAAACCCCGTTCTAATAATTATTACATTAGCGTCAGGCATCTTATCCAACGTACATTGACAAGCGTCAGAAGCACTGTAGCCACCACCATATATCCCAGTTGGAGAGGATTGAATTGACCTATATTCTATGCCTAAACACAAATAGCCATCACCAGTGAGAATTCCAAAATGCAGCGCTGCAGCAATTAGGATGCGGGCACATCAGGGGATCCACATAAACTCTAACCACAATCCCTCTCCTTGGCGTTTTGGAGCCTATGGCTATCGTGAACTCACCAGATCGCAGCCAATAAAGGATGCGAAATGCAAATTAGCCTAAAATCAATGCACTCATCGTAATACTGAATTTCAGCCAGCTGGTGAACATCATCACCACAGAAGGAGGAAAGAAGTAAAGAAGAAACCATGAGCGTCTACTCTCCCTATGTTAGCTGATACGTCTCCAGAGCAGACTTAGCGTGCACTATAAGTAGACTGTGCAGCAAAACAACACTATCTACTGGGTCATCCATGCAGCTATATTATTCAGGAAGAGTTGCGGTCCTAATCTTGATTCTGCCGTTGAATAGTTCCATCATCGAGGTTGAAGGTGATTTGGGGTGCATCGAATTTCTGAAATAAAACATCAGGAGCAGAGCAGAATGAGCTACGAAGAGGCCACTTAACTATAGACCATCAGCAAGAAAGTAGTCACATGAAGTCAGTGTAAGCTTTATGTACCCAAAAGGGTGCATTTGCAGAATTTTACATTCTGAACTATAAACTGACCAAAGCTAAGTTACACAAATGGGTAGAAAAATAAGGATACACTGTCATGCATCGATCGAGCAACGATCCCTAAAAGCTGGATTAAATCTTCAGGATTTATATCCAATGAAAACGCAGAAGGTTTCGTAAAATTGTTTCTTCAGAATTCGTTTCAACTGACGTGGAATTTTGTGTCCGGAGACAATCGGGGCTCTTGCGCGATATCTCACGTGCATATTCAAAGTTAGGGAGAGTAAAGGATCTCAAAGACCTTGGAATTTGATTTAACAAAATATCTGTCGCTGTAATCTTGCAATGCTGATACATATACAGTAGCGAATGTAAAAATGATGTCCGGCGAAAACGGCAACGGCCGATTTAAAGGCCCCGCCACAGACGATGTGGTTAATCCGTAGTATTTAACGAGGTGTGTAAACAATGAAGGAAAAGAGATTTTAAGTGAGATTGTATAAAACTTAAGAGCCAAATGGTGCGCAGATACTCCGCACACATCTCGAACATGTACATGATACATTTCAGAATCGTCAGGACCCACTGAAAATATCGAAGCACAAGCCCCATGTGGTTCACTAAGGTTGGAGCTGCGAGGAATGAACAGGATCACTGCCTCCAATGATCTTAGTCCACCGTGGCGAGTTTATGATCATCAAGAGCAATACATCAGCCATTTGAACTGATGCTTCGCTGCCATACAACCATGATGACTTATGAAATATAGAATAATAAGAAGGGGAGAAGGGGGGACTTACCTGAAGATCTTAATGCACTAAGCAAACATTCAGGGTCAAGGCGCCTACACCTTGTGTAGACAACATACCGTCACAAACAGCTGGCTATCATTCCAAGATAAGGCGGCATCGACGAGACAGCTTCCTTGCGGCTTTCACTGCCACGCGTCATAATCAGCCATTACCCCGCAGATAACCCAGCACCAAACACACTTTAAACAGACAATCCGACTAGGAGACGGCAGCAGACGCGCCACTGGTGTCTACTGCGAGCCATGTCCTGCAAAGTCTCGAGCCAAGCAAAAGGCGAGTCACGTGGACTCCAGCCCGGAAGACGAGACGGACCAACGGCACCCAGTTTGGTCGTCAGTGACTTCATTTCCCGCTGCCAAGTCAACTTCTGTCCACCTCGAGCCTTGCGCCACCCTACACCTGGCAAACTGAACAAGGCCCTCCTAGGTAAGCGGTGACCAGGCATACCTAGCACGTGCCCGGACCAACCCAACTTATTCAGTGCTATCCGTCGTTCTAGGGAGCCAGCATGATTATCACTACCTACTACTCGCCTACGAACATCATCGTTGCGGACACGCTCGTGCTATCCGACACCAGCAATGCTTCGCAGACAACGATGATCAAAGACTTGAAAGCGCCTCAGATCTTAAGACCGAAGGGACCAAGTCCCACTACCATAGAGCAGAACGGCCCTCACTGTGACCTTGTATGCATGGCCTTTCACACGAACTCCCTTCTGTCGACAAAGATGCCGTAAGTTCAAGAAGGCAGTTCTGGCCTTTGCATGAACTGACCTCAGTTGCTATGTGTCCATCGTTGCTGATGCAACTGCCAAGATAAGTGAATCGATCAGCAACCTCGAGTTCTTCGTCGTCAGGTGTCAAGAAGTCACCAAGTGGCTGGTAGTGTTGAAGCAACAATTTGCACTTTAAAGGTGTGAAGCGCATTCCAAATAGTGGGACCAGTAGAGAAGCAATTCCGGGTTGATTGGACCGTCGCAACATCGTCAAAAAGCAAGACGATATCTTCCGCATAATCAAGATCAACTAATCTTTCACTAGGCAGAACTTCAACGACTACATCGTGAAATTCCGCAAGGAAACACTCCATGATAGAATCCACGACGAAATTGAACAAAAATGGGGAATCGGACAACGCTGACGAACGCCACTTGTGGCCGGAAAGCTATCCGATAGGCCTCCGTAGACCCTGATGCGGCCTGTAGTGTTCGAGTATAGATCCCATCGAAAGTTCACATATTTCGTGGGAACATCTTTCCGCGCAAGTATTTCGAACAGAATGCATCGATCGACTGAATCGAACGTACTCTTGAAATCGAGGAACATAGCTATTGTCGGTCTGCGGTATGCCAGGTGCTTCTTTAGCACCTGCCGCAAAGTGAATATATGGTCTATACAGCCACGTCCTGGGCGGAAGCCTGCCTGTTCTTCCCTAATCCGAGATTCCCGTTCCGCAGAGGTGACGAACGAGAAGAGAGGCCGGCAATTTTCTCACCATTGGCGTTAGGCTAATACCCATGTGGTTAGCATAGTCTGTGACTTTGGGTACCTCATTTACCCATTGAGCTAAACTGGGTGATGCTTCCGAGCACTTTGAGAGCTACTCCTACCATCATCATCATCATCATCAACAGCATTACATCAGCCATTTGAACTGATGCTTCGCTGCCATACAACCATGAGGACCTATGAAATAAAGAATAAGAGGGAGAGAAGGGGGACTTACCTGAAAACCTTAATGCCCTAAGCAAACATTCTGAGTCAAGGCGCCTACACCTTGTGTTAACAACATACCGTCACAAACAGCTGGCTATCGTGCAAAGATAAGGCGGCATCGGCGAGACAGCTTCCTTGCGGCCCTCACTGCCACGCGTCATAATCACACATTACCCCGCAGATAACTCAGCACCAAACACACTTTAAACAGACAATCCGATTAGGAGACGGAAGCAGACGCGCCACTGATGTCGGTTGCGAGCCATGTCCTGTAAAGTCTCTAGCCAAGCACAGGGTGAGTCACGTGGACTCCAACCCGGAAGACGAGACGGACCAACGGCACCCAGTTTGGTCGTTAGTGACTTCATTGCCCACTGCCAATTTAACTTCTGTCCACCTCGAGCCTTGCGCCACCCTACACCTGGCAAACTGAACAAGTCCCTCCTAGGTAAGCGGTGACCAGGCATACCTAGCACGTGCCCGGACCAACGCAACTTATTCAGTGCTATCCGTTGTTCTAGGGAGCTAGCATGATTATCACTACCTAGTACTCGCCTACGCACATCATCGTTGCGGACACGCTGGTGCCATCCGACACCAGCAATGCTTCGCAGACAACGATGATCAAAGACTTGAAAGCGCCTCAGATCTTAAGACCGAAGGGACCAAGTCCCACTACCATAGAGCAGAACGGCCCTCACTGTGACCTTGTATGCATGGCCTTTCACACGAACTCCCTTCTGTCGACAAAGATGCCGTAAGTTCAAGAAGGTAGTTCTGGCCTTTGCATGAACTGACCTCAGTTGCTATGTGTCCATCGTTGCTGATGCAGCTGTCAAGATAAGTGAATTGATCAACCACCTCAAGTTCCTCGTTAACAAGCGTCAAGGGGTCACCAAGTGGCTGGTGGTACTGCAGCGACACTTTGCACTTTGAAGGTGCGAAGTGCATTCCAAATAGTGGGACCAGTAGAGAAGCAATTCCGGGTTGATTGGACCGTCGCAACATCGTCAAAAAGCAAGACGATATCTTCCGCATAATCAAGATCAACTAATCTTTCACTAGGCAGAACTTCAACGACTACATCGTGAGATTCCGCAAGGAAACACTCCATGATAGAATCCACGACGAAATTGAACAAAAATTGGAAATCGGACAACCCTGACGAACGCCACTTGTGGCCGGAAAGCTATCCGATAAGCCTCCGTAGAGTCTGACGCGGCCTGTAGTGTTCGAGTATAGATCACATCGAAAGTTCACATATTTCTTGAGAACACCTTTCCGCGCAAGTATTTCGAACAGAATCGATCGATCGACTGAATCGAACGTACTCTTAAAATCGAGGAACATAGCTATTGTCGGTGTGCGGTATGCCAGGTGCTTCTTTAGCACCTGCCGCAAAGTGAATATATGGTCTATACAGCCACGTCCTGGGCGGAAGCCGGCCTGTTCTTCCCTAATCCGAGATTCCCGTTCCGCAGTGAGGCGACGAACGAGAATCAAGGCCAGCAATTTTGTCACAACTGGCGTTAGGCTAATACCCCTATGGTTAGCATAGTCTGTGCGACTGCCCTTCTTGTATATTGCCACTATAATCGATGCGCTCCAATTAGCTTGGGCACTGCCTTCCTTCCAGATACCTACGACTAGGGAGGTCAGTGCTTTGCAGAGAACCTCACCTCCATCCTTAAATAGTGCAGGTCGGAAGGAATCAGGGACAGCAGCACGAAAACGATTGAGGGCTGTGATCGCGATTCGTACTTCGGCCTCCGATGGAGGCTCTAAACTAACCGTCCATGACTCATCCTGCATCACCTGAGTAGGAAGAGGTCCGGGAGCATGGGGCCAGCTGAACTGATATTGAAAGTGTTCCGCCCAACGAACCATACGGCGCTGTTTATTGTGTATGAATGCATTCGCGCTGTCTCTGATTGTCTCACTGATGCCTGATTTCCTGGGACCAGTGGTGAGGATTAGCTGGAAGAGCTTGCTGTAATTGCCTACTGCTCCTGCCTCCTCCATTTCTTGAGCCCCACTGGTCCACCAGGCTTCCTTGTCAGCCGGTAGGCTCCGCTTTAGTTCCCGCCTAATAGCCCGTCTGGTCACATTGTGTTCAGAACCAGCCGAGACGTTTCTTCTAGATTCCAACAGGTTCACCGACCTGTCGGATATCCAGTGACTGGTGCGGTGACGATGGATAGTGCCACAAGAAGATGCTCCTGCATCATGCATGGCGGCCGAGATCCTATTCCACTGATGCACATTGTCATTAGAACAAGATAGCGAAAGTTCGGTGCGCGGTGCGTCTTGACAGGCTTATCTGACTGAGGGCTGAGACAATTTCTTAGTTGCCATTCGGAGGAGCCGCTGGGTGCGCCTCCCGGTAAAGTTGATGGAGAAATAATAGCGTACCAAGGCATGAACAGAGTCGACACAGGTACTCCAGTATGATCGGCAATCCAGGATGGAACCACGCCATCTGTAACTTTTGGCTATGTGGTCAATTTGGGTCCACCCCTGGCTGGCTACAAGAGGGCGCCAAGTGGCACTTAGGCGTCCACTGTGTCTAAAGCAGTGCTACTATGAAACAACTGGTTCTTTGCATACAGTTGCAGCAGACGCTCGCCGTTGTCAGCCCAATCGGAGTTAATCCCATAATTACCACACATCTGAGCTTCTGAAGAGCTCAGACACCATACTTGGGCGTTCATATCCCCTGCAAATACTATAATATCTGAACTAGTAGCACTGCGTAGTAAGGCGTTCAGTTTGTAATAGAATGTGTCCTTGACAGCATTTGAACTGCAGCCGGTGTGGGCATAAACGGGAATCACAAACAAACAGCGTTTTGTACTACTTCGTGAATCAATTTTAGCTGATGTCGTCAAACGGGCAGCATATAAACAGCTGTTCACGGGAATCCAATCAACCAACGAATTCTCAGCCTTGGAGCTTAGAATGATACCTACACCAGCTTGACGCGTGAGTGCTGCATCGGCGTCTCCAAATGCATGCAACCAATAACGAGAGGATAAGCCTGGTGCAGTTAATTCAACAACCCCATTAGGGTCATTGATCCTAGTTTCGGACACACGACACACATCAATACCCGGTGTGTTCAAGGTGCGTGCAAGTGCAGCCTGTTGACCTGTTTGTCATAGAGTGCGAACGTTGAACGTCGCCATGGAAAAGGGACAGCGTGGCCTTATAAGGGGCTGTTGCCAATAGGCGTCCGATGGGTGTTGTGGGAAGGTGGCTGCAGATGGTTCTACTCCAGTGGCACTTCGGTTGTTGTCAATTAAGCTGGGAATTTAAGAAGGTAGTTTAGTAATGGGGTCGGGGTGGGAATAAGAGAAACAGGTGGAAAAGAAAGAAGGGAGGCGCCAGCAGTAGCATGTTTTCGCTTATCTGCCCTGCTGTATACAGCGGATAAGGCTCAATCACTCTTTCGAATTATTTGACGGGATGAAGTACTCTCAGAATTGTAGTTGTTAACTGTCACCTCGATAGTCAGAAAATCTCAGGAGTTTCCCGTATTACTTTCAAGCAAATCACATGCACCGTGTATCAGAGGTACACAGGACTTCGAGAAAACCGAACCAATAGCAGCAAGGTTAGTTTCAATTTCAGTGATCAGATAGTCAACGCATGGGCAAGTGCTTGAACAGGAGAACACATGTTGTTTTCAAGAAACGAAGATTGCATTTGATTCGACAGTCGCACGGTGAATGGTGTTCTATTTTCAAACTTACCTACCTAACATCTGTGTAATTCATTTCGCGCCTTATCCCATTTTCCTGCTAATTTGACTATCATCATATGGTGGCAGTTTATTCGTCACGATGTGGGACTCGAATCACAGTTACCTAACTGAAATGATCTGAACTTGTTGCAGTTAGCCGCGCCTGTCGACGTGCAGATTTATCTTTAGAGAGGTAGATGATGTATTTCCCAGCACTTTGCAATCCAGACACCGCAATTGCTGGAGCCCCGTATGTGCCTAAGGGGAGCTATCCATTGAGTTTAACACACAAATCAAACTTCATCAGGACTGCTGCAACCATTCCGTTTTGTTCACATTTGCGATTAGAATAATTATGAATGACTATTAGATAATCGCATGATAAAAGAGCAATTATGAGGGTTAACCGATTACCAAGCTTGGAGTAGGCGGGTGATATTACCACTTTGGGTCGGAAGTGTGCAAACTGTGTTGAAAAGGTTTATGCAATTTTGAGTATGGGATTCGCACTTGCGAAGATCAAGGTACTGCTAGTGGCCTGGAAGACATGTTGCTAGCGCAAATAAAGCACTCAAAGTAAGCAATCGGTTTATTAGCCTATGTTACCATACGCATCGGCAAGGCCGGTGCAAAGTGAGGTCGAGTGTACAATGCATGAACTCAACCAGCGTTATGGTATGAATGAGATGCGTGGCTACTGTGCGCTAGACACTGAAAGACCGCGTGTTTGATCATCAGCACTCATGAAGTATTGCTCCCATTCGTTGCGAACACAGGATGTGACACAAGTGCCCAGTGGCTGAAGCTAGATCAAAAGGCCACCGGCGAAACATTGGACTGTTTGACGAACGTGGATCGAATACACTGTCTAGGATTTATAGTTCACATATCTAATAGCCGATGTCCCGGTGTGCGTTGCTCGTCGGTAATCTGCTTGTGTGAAACTTCTAGGTGGCCAGTCGATGGCTTAATAAAAGGGAACTGGGTGGAACAACTCAACCGAATGCCTGACTTGATAGGGTTTCGGAATTAGCTGTGACAATGATTGATCACGCGGGGGAATCTAGTAAAATAGCTAGGAAACACTGAGAGGCAGGTGTTCACAAAGAGCAAATTAATCAAGCACCGTGAGGTTAGTTGCAACGAACTCACCATGAAACTATGTTTAGAAACGCGAATGTTCGCAATCATTCTCGTTGGATTAACACTTGAGTGTGCTCATTTGGAAGGATACATAGTCGCCCAAGATGTATCAAACAAGCAGGTCATTCAGATGTGCTTGATGTCGTTTCCGAAAACAGTTGATGTTTTAGCTTTGATTGGGACACGCAACTACGCACCCTTAAACTTTAAAATATGACTGCTCTCGAATTGCTATTCCACTACGAATTGATTCCATGGGATGAAAACACCGTATCCAAAACTCGGTGGGAAACCCATTTGGTTGTTACCCACAGGTAGTTATCGCGGAATACCATCTGCATCAAATGTCAGTATCCTGCCCGAGGGCAAATCTAGCAACCGAAGTTCCTAAAAATCATACAACACTTGGGAAGCGAATTACCAAAAGATGACGTGAGCTGAGCTTAAGAAATCCATGCAAGAATAATAAGTTTGACCATGAAAGCCTGAAACTTACTGAATTCAAATTTATCAGACCGCTCGAAAGCCCAGACGCACAGACGAGAGGGCTGACTGTGCTCCGAGTAAGTGAGGTTCAGCGAGATGGGTCCACGGAAAGATTCGTTGGTTAGAACGGTACACCCACTCCTCACATGGTTGTCCACAGCGAATTGGAAACGAATCTCTATTGGCACTGCATGAGAGATAACCGGAAAATAGAAGGAATAAGCGAACCGCCTAACAGCTAATGATGATGACAACGTGGCGACAATACGTTAAAATCAGCGCATGTCGGTTGATTAACCGTGGTCCGCGAAGATGAGATGGGTCTAACTATGAATCCGTAAGAAGTAACTGAAAAAGTGGAATATGGGTAGAAGGAAAAAGTCAAGTGGTGAACAAATGACTTATAAGTTGTTAAAAGCAATTGTTAAGAGCCATAAACGGGAGGAGGGATAAAAAGGAGCCAATGATTCATCGACCATGCAAAATAAAGCGAATTCAAACCGTTCAGATAGCTGATCTCTAAGCTCCACCTAGATTTGAAAATACGCGCCAACTCGGTGCAACTGCTTCGTTCAGTTTAATCATTACCTTTTATAATGTATGTATATTTATCGACTGTGCGAGTTACAGTCCAAAACGTGGAATGATTATATGGTACAGCATGATCTCAAAGTGAACATGTTATTTCAGATTTTCCGAAAGGTTTCGAAATCAGATATACGGGGAGTTCAATTGGTATATATGGTAAAAAGAAGGAGTTTAAAAACAGGATGGCAGTTGTTATTGAAAAAGCACAATAGAATTAATATGGCTAACCGTGGAACCGAGTCCTGGGGACATGTTTTCATGCGGAGTATTCCCTCGAAAGAGTTCATCCGCACTTCCACGTCCCATTTAGGTTTCGTGTCGGTGTGACAAAACAGCAAACAAGCCATACTAGCTCTTCTCATGGCCGTTCTTATCTATGATGAGTAATAGGCTCGCAAAGATAAGTGAGCTCTCATGTTTTTCGTCTAAAATAATACTCTTTTAGGCCATTCAACCCGTTACGGGTTCTGACTCTTTCAAGTCTGACACCTTTTCCACTCGATGAGTGTGTGCCAATTTGCTTTGAGTAGGCGTATATTTTCTCACCGATAGGTCTGTAGCAACTCGTCACACGTGGGTTTATTAAATAATCTGGAAGCTTCATCCCATCACCTCACATCAGCGCAGTCGTAGTCAACAGTGGAAAAATGAAGTATAGAAGGTTACGAAATACAAATAATGATAAATGAGTGGTATGTAGCCGATAAGTTCTGCTTCAGGTTGTAAAAAGAGCATACATAAGTAAAAGAAAAATAAAGAAAAATGGCTCTATGGACGAGTTTGATAGATCCAGCAACTCCAGACAATCGAGTTGTAGCGTAATTGGTGTGGAAAGTGGACTTCAAAGAGCATCAAAAAATGCCACAGGTAGATGAGTTGTTTTCTCCGGAAAAGAAGTGATAACAATTAGAAGTGCGCAGCAAATGTAGAGAGAAAGGAACATCAGTTTTGTATGGCGAGAAGCGAGATATTGGAATGGGAAAAGGTGTAATGGTTTAATTAAACGAAGAACGAAGAACTCCATTATTGGGTTTGCTTTCTACCAGCTACTGCTACTTCACTGCTATCAATCCCGCACTGAAGATGCCACCTCGAATGGTGGCGGAACGTCTGCAACCAAGTTGCCCAGTTCGGAGAACTCCACAACAACTGAAGAACGTATTATTCAGACAGTTTGCACATATTATGGCTAGCTTGCCGAACAACCTCCTCGTGGCGCCAGCTGAGTGGTTTGGGATTATCCCGTTCCAGAAAATCGTTCGGCGGCAGTATTCCAGGACGTGGTGGGTTTTCGCCTGGCAAGTGATCTCCCCATAAAAAGCCACATATGTCCGTTTAACAACACTGCGACGTGGCGGATGTGACTCACCACTAAATAAAGTCACTGCCCCTTGCTTCATACTGGCAAGGCATGGTATTCCAGCAATTTAACGCTAAAATTGTGGGGAGCATTGGGCCCCTGTTTGGCCAACAAACAAACGAAAAGCGTATGAACTGGACAATCAATCACCAGCTCCCAATGGGCGCGATTCTCCGAATTCGATCCGCTGCCTTGCGGGCAGGTCATTCGGCCAAAGTCTCGGGGTGGTGTCCTCTAAGTCACCGCCCTACTTCGGCTTGGGCAACCAGGTAGTACCTAGCCCTCTGACAAAACCATGGAATCATCCGTGTTGTGTATTTTTTTTAACGATATCTGTACCCTACTTTGAGTCCCATGTTTTTGATGGCTCCATGCCTATTCGTAGGCTGTTGAAAGTATATATAAATATTGCAATATTATCATGCACTTGTCCTTTACACCTATACTTCCCCACTCCACTTTGTATTCCAGTTTCATAAGTTCTTTGAGTTTCAACACAGTGAGGTACGTATACAGCATTTTTCCAAACGAATGTTTAGACTCACATAGTCGCAATTCAGTAGGTAGTCTGTTCCAGATATCTGAGTACTTCGTCAGATAAAACTTCCTGCGTATGCTTGTTTTGTTCTACTTGTGGGAAGCGAATTTCTCTTATTCCTAATGTTATACCTTTGATTCTGAATGAAGTGTAAGCTAGTGTGCGGGGCAAATAGTCGTTTGTGCACTAAGTCGAATAGGAACTTCAGACCCAGTTTCAAACTCCGTAACCACAACGGCTCTAATTGAAGCAGAATGCAGCACTCTGAATAGTTTGGTATTGGGGATTCGGTAAATAGGGCTTTGGAGAATCGACGCTGCATATTCTCCAAGCTGAGACGATCACGTTTCCTGCAACTTGTAGATCTCATCGAACAGTATTGCAAAAGATGGCGCATGCAGCTTGGGATCTCGCAATATCAGTGATTTTAAGATTAATCGTGCTGTTTGACGGGCTTTGGCTGCTATGAATTCGATCTGCTTCCCGAAATTGAGGGTGCTTGAATAATGAAGACCCAAGTCTCTTACTGTGCTGCGGAACGGAAATGGCTTTCCACAGAGGTATAGGGTACTCATTACTATTTTGCATCGACCTGCTAATATTCCGCATTTATCCGACGTGAATGACATTTTGCAGCTGTTAGACCATCTTTCGAGAGCTAATAAATCACTGCGTGTCTTATTCAAAGTTGGTTCCGGATTGTTAGATTTAAAAGTGTACAACCCCTTAATATGATCTGCAAAAAAAGGTAGGCTGTACCATTTTTAATAGTTTCATTTATGTCATTAATGTACCTCAAAAATAGCAGTGGACCAAGGCCGCTCCCTTGGATCACACCACTAGTAACAGGCAGCGATCGACCTATGAATTCCTATTTACACTTGTTGTGTGCAATCAGTAAGATATGATTTAAACCAAGCATGTAAGGGGTCTATGATGCCAAATTGTGACATTTTCCATAGCAGGGGGCGATGCATGTCGATGAAAACGATGATAGCTATGGCCATTATCCACAGAGCTCGTTAAACAATTCAGGAATTCCAGCTGGCATGTTTGGCATGATCGTTTCCGTATAAAGCCACGCTGAGGCTGGTTACTCAGGTTTTGTGACAGCAAACGGTTTATTGTTTTCGCTTTGACCATTCGCTCCATTACTCTTGCAACTAATCGAGCGGTAGTTTCTGAGGTCTGCTTTTGGGCCACTTTTGTGCCTAGGCCTGACTAGCGCGAGTTTCCATTGAATTGAAAAAATACTCGACTCCATGGACATGGTAAACAAGTTTAAGAGTAAAAATGTAATATCATGGCCACCGTATTTTAGCAAGGAAGTTGGTAGACCGTCTGGGCCAGGATAAGAGGATGATCGTAGTCGGTCTATGTGGTGCTAAAAATCTTTATAGCTGCAAGTCCCTGTGTACAGTTTTACAATGCTAATGGTTGTTCTGGACAAAAGTACGTCACATAGAACAGTGAACGATGAGGTAAAGTGATTATTTAGAGTATTTACTATTGTATAAGGAGGTGCGATCAGAGATTTGTCTGGTGGAGTAATGGCGGGATTTTATTTCGTGTCCGCGTCATTTTGACTGTCTCCAGATGTGTTTGTAGACCCCCCCCCCAGAGCTCGTTTCTCTTCAGTCAATAATCTCCGTGCTATTTTTAACTCAAGTTCAGCAAGCAGCTTGTCCTGCCTTATTAATAAGGAAAAATCAAGCGTCCGTTTAATCTGAGTACGTACTTTCTCTAATTGCTTTACTAAGCGCGGCGTTCTTAGTGAAACATTCTTACTCGGTTGTTGTTTGATCGGTGCAAGGGCGTCTAGGATTTGTTGGAAGTTAGTGTACATTCTCTTAGCCGCAGTTTGTGGTTCCTTTGTAAGGAAAAACAGACCCCAATCCGTTATTCGCAGAAGGGACGAAAATTGATCCTCATGTAAATTTCTACGTTCTCTGCGTGGCGCCACCAAAGGCAAAGGATTTGGTTTCGAGATGGTTAACTCACAGTCTGTGTGTTCCAGCGTCCGAATCTCGAGGCAGACTTGCGCTTCGCTGGGTGGATTCAGTGGGATGAGCCTGGGTGGACAACAAGGTGTACTGCATGTACTGATGGACTGTGGAGGCCAGTTGAACTGCGAGTGAAGTGCTCGGCCCAGCGGTCTTTACGTCTCTGTTGGTTGATGATCGGAGACTCATCCACCTTACAAATGATCTCACTGACACCAGACTTCCTGAGGCCAGTGGACCGAATGAATTGAAAAAGTTTGCGAGTGTTGCCAAAGAGGGCAGTGGTCTCCATCTCTAAAGAACGTTCAGACCACCATGCCTCGCGATCCTTGCGTAGGCTTTGTTTGAGCAGCCGGTTGGTAGAACGTCGCCGCTCGTTGCAATCTGACTCCAAAGGATTATCTTTGCGGCGTTCGAACTGCTTCAGAGAAAGAGCATAGATCCAAGTCTTTAAGGGGCGTCGAGCTACGCCGCAGCTTGACTATTCGGAAATGGTCATCGCTTTCTGTATACAAGTCCAGTGTTGCTCCACGTCTTGCGGTAGATTGCAACTGAGTGCGTATGCTAGTGAAGACTGATAGCTCGCCTGGACAGAGGAACCATGCTGCAACCCGGTACTAATAAAATGGACACTGCGAGAATCCACGTATTTGACCAAATTGGGCTACAGGCCTGAAGTTGTACAAGTGAGCTAGGTC